TTTTGTGCGATGTGCTGAGAAAGGCGGAAGCAGAGAGCATGAGCTGTGCACCGCGCTCTGCTGTAGTGCTGGTTTCATTTCCCTCGATAAAAAAAATATTTATAAAAAAGTTCTATTTCATATTAGGACATTTCATTTCCAAGATGACACAGAGGACTTCTCTTAAGAGTATTTTTGGAGTCTGGAGGAAATCTCTTAAGCTGCAGGGAAAGATGTAGGTCTGTGCAAGTTATGAGAGCAAGTAAATATACCCAATAAGCCCCATCTGAGTACGGACAGGTTGAAGACAGTCAAAAACGTGTTTCCTGCCTGAGTGGGTGAAAAAAAAAAAAAAAGATTCAGCAAAAATAAGAAGGAAGAAATGTAACGAAGAGATGTCAGCTCGGGGAGCTTTGCCTGCAGGGGTGAACAGGGGCACAGCTGAGCCACAGCATCTGCTACTGCTTTGCACCAGCGCATCCAGCCCCGGTGTTGGGGTGGGGCAGGATAATTAGTTAGAAGAATAACTAAACAAAGAAGTGCAAAACTGCCTCATCTTGGAAAACCGGTACTTTTCCGACCGCAGTCCACGCAGAAAGAGACTAAACCCCATGGGGTCAGTGCCGTGAGCTGGCAGCCCTGAGCGCTGTGGGAAAACATCCCAGGGACACCCTGAAACCGCATCAGGGGTTTTGACTGTTATTTATTAATTGGATGAGAGAATGGGTTCAAATAGTGGGGAATAAACAGCTGCTTTTTCCGCAGTGCAGGAAAATTTGGGACAACTGTCTTGTTGAGAGACAGAAAACCCAACAGAAGGACCTTGGAAAGGGAAATGGCACCAACCAGCTGAATTTCATACAGCTTTGGGCTGAATTAAAGGGTAAAAGCAAGGGAAGAGAAACCCTTGAGGGATGCCAGGGAGCATGAAAGCTAATGACTGCCACTCCAGAGCATCCCTCATCCAGATATAGTGGGGTTGGGGCGAGGGTGCGAGCTCAGCCCACCGCAGCCCCGCAGTGCCATGAGTCCCTGACAGCACAACTGGGGACTGGGCACCCCTTGGCCCTCTGGTCTACAATAAAGGAGAATTCCATTGTGCTGGGGTGGGGCTTAGCACAGGAAAATCGCTTGGATTCCTGCGATGTGTCTACCAGACAACGTCCGTTTTCTTCCATCCTTAGCTTTTTTGGGGATGGGGCTTCTAGCCCTCTGTTACCCATCAGAGACCACCAGCCCTGCTTACTCCTGAGCCCCAGGATGTGGGAATTGGGATGTGCCGAGCAAACAGGGAGGAGGGCAACCAGCCAGGTCCCCTTTGCAATGGGACACCACACCTGCAGCAGTGTCTTGCAGGACAGGACCCCACACCCCAGCCCACCCAGCTAAAAACAGCATCCACAGTTTATTGTGGGGCTCAGGGGGGGTATCCCATCCCCACCATCACTTACCCAGTGGCTGCTGCCATGACACAGCCACCTTGTTCCGGGGTGGCCTCCACACAGCAGCCTGTGCTGTCGTGGCTCATGCCGAAATTGTGTCCAATTTCGTGGGCCATGGTGGCGGCTGCTCCAATGGGCTGCTCTGAGTGGTCCTGTACAGGGAGAGGGGATGCATCAACACAGCAGCCAGGAGGGTCAGAGATGGCTGATCCCACAGCAGGGAATGGGGTTGGGGTGATGGAAGGACCACAGCATCCCTGGGATTGCAACTGGATCCCATGGGAGGGACAAGAGAGAGGGATGAAGGAAGATTCATGGCAGAAGTGGGGTATGGTCTCCAAAAAGTCCTGCATGGGACCATTGGGAAGCTCTTTTGCTGGAGCCAACTGCACAAAACCTGCAGCCATGGAAGGTACATCCCAAATACCAGAAACCTCAGTGCCCTACACCACCACCCTGCCGAGGGACCATAGATCACCAGGGCCACCACCACCCCATCAGCAGGAGCATAAGGGTTATCTGGGGTGGAGATGACCCTACAAGCAGGGAATAAGCAGGAGCTACTCAATATGAGGGGCAGAAGGGACATGGGACATCCCAGCGCTGCAAGCTGAGGGTGTACGTGAGGTGGGAGACGCTTAAAACCGGCCCCTTCTCACCTTCCTCAGTACTCGGCCAACATCCGAGAGGGGTAAGGGGCTACCAGCATCATCGTTCCCTCCCAAACAGCATCCAAGGACCATCCCCAGATGGCTGGTCCTCCAAGCCCATAAAGAACCCCAACAAGACGGGGGGGCGTTGGGGTCCTTCAGCCCAGGAGGAGCAGCAGGGACTCCCATGACCCTCTTACCACGCTGACGCCTCCAGAGTTATCAGCGCTGCACATCCCTTCGAGTGGGGCCATGCCAATAGTTGTCCCTCTGAATGTCTTCCCTCTGCCCAGAAAGGAGGACAGAGAGGCAGTTAGCACCCCATGGGTGGTTTGGAGACCCCGGTGTGAGCTGGGAGACCCCTATCGCAACATCCCCAGGTCCATAGGGTTGCTCACGTCAGCAGCTGGGCGTTGTCGTGCTTCCTGCGTGACATCAGGGCCTTTTTCCACTGCAGGAAGGACCAGAGCGTGGCGTTGGCATCGCTGGTGACAGCACACTGGTCCCGCTCCGTCCACACCTCCAGGCCGATCAGGGCCACCTTGATATTCAGCGACCTGTAAAACTGCAGGGAGGGGAGAGGGATGGAGGGGACGGGGACCATCATTTGCCATACATTGTACACCCCTGCATTTCAGGTGGTGGATCTCCATGCTTTCTCTCCAGCGGGGTGACTTGGGGACACACATGTACCAAATCCAACCTGCAGTATGAGCTCTACTGGCACAGGAGCCAGTCAGGGTGGCACGATGCCATCCGTCACACAACAAATGCCTAAACGTGTCCCTCCTTGCGTCACCGGTCCCCACCACCACAGCAGAGCAAGTGGATGGATGGCAAAGCACATTCCACTCCCATCTGCCACCTAAACCCTAGTGACACAGGGATAGCCACCACCAGGCTGGCCCCAAGCCCAGGTGCTGTCACATGGGACGGTGGAGGTGGTCACAAAGGACTAGCAGGCTCCTCTCGCCGGCCGCTACCTTGTCCACGTAGTTTGCGATCTCCACGATGCGCTGCTTGGTGTGGCCCAGGTTGAGGTGCTGGTTCCTGTACTGCAGAGACATGGGGATGAGGAAGGGTCACCAGAGGAACCAAGGGGTTCCAGGTTTTCAAAAGAGGACCAGGTTTCCACCCCGCCCAGCACTCACCAGCGTGTGATCGGCAACGATGAAGAGCTCCATGTACTTCATGGTCCTCCAGGCATCTCTCTTGCCCTGCAAGGCAGACAGCAAAGCTCAGAGGAGCGAAGTAGCGGGGCAGGATATGGATCTGGGCATTTCAGGCTTCCCAGACACCACAGAGCTGCTCAGGACGCACAACAGAGAGGGGAAACTGAAGCACAAGGTTACAAGGAACGTTTGAGTGGCTACAGTGCCATTCCTAATGTCACCTCACATTGTGTCCCACACTGTGCGACACAGCACTGGTACCCAACCCACACATCCTCCCTCTGAGAGAGGGCTCAAACCCACACAGACTCCTCACATCCCACCTGCCTGCACAACCCTGCGCAGATGTCAGGGTGACGGGCGTCCCAGCGCAAGCTGCAGGCATTTAGCAGGGGCGCAGACCGCTCCCCTGCCAGCCCTCTGCCTCTCCATGAGCCAAGGACCCCAGGATGGGTTTACCCGGTGGTGCGCCGGCTGGAAAAGCCGAGCGATGTCAGCGATGGTGCTCCCAAAATCATCGCCGTGGCCGCAGGTCCCACCCTGGACGGGCAAGTGCTCTGCTCGGTGGATGACGTGGTGGCCGGGCTCAGGGGTCCCCAGGGGTTTCAAGTAGTAGCTGGCGTTGCTGCTCAGCACGATCAGGCCCCTGGCAATGGAAAGCAGACCCCGATGGCTCCTGTGGCACTGTAGCTCCCACAGTCCCTGCCGAGGCTCCACAAACTCACTACACCTCAGCTTGGTCCATACCCGGGGTGGGGGCAGAGACAAGAGATGGGTATCTAATACATCCTTGGCATTAAAGCCCGGTCAGACCCCGCGGAGGCGGGATGGCAGCTGATGGTTGCGATGGGGCAAAGCTCAGTTCTGGGGTACCCACTGTGGGGCACGGGCTCTTGCCTCCTCCAGAGGCTAAATTCCTCGAAGGCAGCTCATGCTGCCAGAAAAATGGCCTCTCCCCTCCCTACGTGTCCCCCCTCCCCGGGGTTGGGTAAAGGATGGGAGAAAGGGAGCGAAGGAAAAATCAGCCCCGTGCAGCATCCAGGGCTGGGCTTGCAGGAGCATCGGCGCTGCCCCAGGGGGTCCCCAAAGGGGGTCTCTGCAGAGAGGAAAGGGCAGCCAGATCCATCTTCTCCTTCATCAGCCCCACAAGTCCCCCCACACACATCTCCGTACCGTATTCCTGAGCAGGTGCTGAGGACGACCCAGGAGCCTCCGTAGCCCTGAACGTGCCCGTGGTAGTAGCAGTGGTCCTGGGCAAGGAGGCAACGACGACCTTGCTTAGAAAGCACCCCGCAAGGCTGGGCAGCAGCGAACCCCAAGCATTCATCCCGAAAAACCACCCGTTTTCCATTTCCCGACCAAGTGAGTGATGTCCCTCCACACTGGGTGACGGGAGGGAGGGATAGAGCCAGGAGGCTGCCGGCTCCAGGGGTTCAGCCCAGGACACGGACAGCCCTGCACCGGGGCTCGGACACTGGAAGGGTGGCAAACGGCCGGTGGGGGGACGTCAGGGAGGGCTGCCTGGGCCTGGCGCTGCCTGTGTTTATCTCCGGAGGTGCTGTATGGCAGCCAAAAGACAC